CTAGGCTCACTAGCCTACCAGGCTTACTAGCCTAAGTCACACACTACTAGGCTCACTAGCCTAGCTCACAGTCACACTCAATCTTAGCCTTCGATATCCTCATCTACGGCTAACACTGACGGCCGCTCTCAACCGCCTAACCTCCAAACCGCCTAACGGTTTAACCGTTCAACCGCCGTACACGCACGTCGGCGTTCACTAGTCCAAACCCTAAGTCGGGCCGAACCCTAATCACAGTAATTCGCCTGACTATAATACCGAATCTTAACACTAACCACCCTCACACATAAGCGTCTTCACAAAGAAGCGCCTTTCTCCCTTCATGCATCTCTTAGAATGATTATCACCATATGACAAAAGTCCAAAATCTCTTAAATCCCGTAGCTAGATGTACTCTAGCCTAGGTCGGTTCTACTTCCACCACCCACTAGTCGGTTCAACTATATGAACTCCTTTCCATCAACCGGTCACTCTACTATTCACAATACGGCCTATATTCCACTCGGACTTGTGACCGGATCACTATACTACTAGTGGTCGGTAGTACCGTATTATTAGTGGTTGGGGTACTATACTACTCGAGTCGACTCACATCTAACGATCCACATTCCAAGTAAACACGCAATCCGACGGTCGATGCTCAATGACACAAACTTCTAATTTGACGGTCGATATTACAGGACAAAACCACAAACCTACTGTCGAGATGACACGACAAAAAGTCACGATCCTACGGCTCAAATCTATCGAGCCTAACTCAACAATATGGCCCGTCAATTAACTTCGTTTCTCAATGTCTCTAGGTCTACACTCTACTACTACCCAGTGAGCTCAGTAGACCGTCACCTAGTGAGGTGACGGTCCGAAAATTTCACTCTATACCGTACATCGACGGCTTCTATCAAACCTACACAATATCGACGATTATCGCCTAGTCATTCGGATGTAACGCTGTAACCCGCGCGCATTTAAGCGTTTACCGTCACTACTCGTTACCGTCGAACTACCATCGACGCATGATCCAAAACTCTAGAACCACCCAGAGATTCGATTCTAAAATGCTCGTATCTCAGCACTCCCCTACACACTAATGAGTATGCGATCCCAATCTTGCTCTTGCAATTCTTGAACTTCTTGGGTTCCCGCGCCTTGGTCATGATGTCGTCCTTTATGTCCTCCGTTTCGTAATACGTGAACACGACCTTCTTGCGCGCTCTCGTGCAACGTGGTGAATAAAGTTAATGTGCTTCGACCGCTGTGAAGCGATCGGATGCTTCAGGCGGCGAATTGCCTTTTGGTTGTCGCAGTAGATCTGGACCGTTCTGAGGTCCAACCCAAGACCTCCCCCGAGCTTGCGATGGCACAGCGCCTTTTTCACTGCTTGCACTATGCTTAGGTACTCAGCTTCCTCCGTCGAGTTCGCCACCGTTGGCTGCAGCCTTGCTCAACCAGCCGACCGCCCCCCCGTAAATTAGGAAGACGTACTCCGTTGTGGACCGCCTCAAGTCCACGTCTCCCGCGTAATGCGCGTCACAACACACTTGAGTAGAAGTTGGGAGCGGTTAGGGAACGATTACTGTTAAGATTCGGTGATTATAGTCAGCCGAATTACTGAGATTAGGGTTCGGCCCGAGTTAGGGTTTGGACTAGTGAACGCCGACGTGCGTGTACGGCGGTTGGACGGTTAAACCGTTAGGCGGTTTGGAGGTTAGGCGGTTGAGAGCGGCCGTCAGTGTTAGCCGTAGATGATGAGATCGAAGGCTAAGATTGAGTGTGACT